AGCAAAATGACGTTCGGGTATTCTTTGACTAAACGAACCTCCCTTTGAGACGTTACGCTGCGCCAAAATGTGATCGCAAGAGAACTATAATAAACCATTAAAACTTGTCTTTTTTGAACAACTTAAAAAGACAAATTTTCATGATGTATTATAGTAATTATCTTGCAATCACATTTGAAACAAGAAATTTAAGATTTTGTATCACATTAAAACTTGTCTAATTCATCCAAAATTCATTAAATTTAAAATATTTCCAAATTTTAGATTAAATAGACCTTTAATTGATCATTAGATTGCTTGCCTCAAACTCCTTTTGTTGGTTCCGTAAGATTTTTTCTTCTTGTGATTAACATCCATGATCTGTTGGGGCAAATAGCCTTTAGAAGGACACCAGAGGAAGGACAGATGAGAACCATTTCCACCACAAACAGATGAAAATCTTGGGAGTAATAACTTATAGACAGTTTTTTTCTCAAACAAACCTTTGGTACGTTTCTAGAATCAAAGTTGGTCGTGACTAGATAAAATATAGCTCCATCTGAAATAAAGAAATCGGCTTTACAGTCAACTCGTTCACACAAAGAAATTTCCTATCCTTTTCAAAAGTAAGGACACGTCAAAAAATATCAAACACTCAATAATACAAGAAATAACTACTTCAGCAGATGGCACAGAAACAACAAAATCTAGTGATGATGAAAAAAATTAAGTATAGCAACATGCACTGCAAATTTTACCAAAAAAACGAACACTGCAAAAGACGACATGCTTTTATTAACTTTACTTTTTTATTTTTAGATCCTGCTAAACGACTTCACCTAGGTCTTCTACGTAGAAAAATGAAACAAATCAGCTATGATTTTTCAAAAATAAAAATAAGAAAAACCAGTTATGTATTCTACGTAGAACTAGAAGTATCAATTAGGCTAGCCTGACCCAACCTAAAACGCACAAATTTAAATGATATTTAAATCTGTTCGGCTTTGCCTCGAAATTTTTTGGAGTTATATCTTAAAGCTCGTCCTAACCCTGACATGTCTATAAATATTTTGGGGTTTTTGGAATGATTAATTATAATATATATATATATATATATATATATATATATATATATATATATATATATATATATATATATATATATATATATATATATATATATATATATATATATATGACATCCTAACCATTTCTATTTCTTTTTTATTATAAAAGTGGGTTTTAACTTTTTATCTTCAAATATGAAATCAGTTTGAAGTTTTTTTTAACTAGAGCGTTTTTGTATGATTTAAAATTATATTATAAGCAAATCAAAATTTACAAGATTGAAATAATCACAAGTAAATTAAACTAACTATATAAGAAAACAAAATTTGTGATAAACATAGTCAAATGTTTTACACTTTGTATTTTGGATAAAAACAAGTTTTCATAAAGAAAAGAAAACACGGTTGTCAAATTTATAATTTGACTCTTGTAATAATCAAATAGTAAAATTTATTCGCATCTTCATATTTGATTTGCAGTTTGGATCAGAAATATTAGAATATGTTTGTATCAAGAATGACTATGATTACACAAATGATACTTTAAAAACTAACTAGACTGTGACCCGCGCGGTTGCACAGGATTGTTATTTATATTTATGTTTTAAAATTAAAATATGATGAAATTTTATAAACTTCTCGTCCACTTTGTATATTTTGGTTTTCAGTTTTGCTCAGTTACAATTGTAAATTTTGGTTTCCGATTCAAAAAATATTGTAAGAATGCGGTTATTTATGAATTCGAGTTTGAGTTGTTATTTTTGTTTTTGATTTGGTTCAGATAACTATATTATAATTGTAGGTTGATTTAATTTAATTATAACAGCTACCACATAAAATTGTATAGTATAATCTTATATATTAAAAAGAAGTCATGACTTCACTTCATGTGTGATATTTTAAAATGGACAATCTAATAGAATTTATGACATTACATTATTCAATCATTGATAACATTCCTTAGATTCACTAATAACATTTATTGGGCTTACTATAAATTTTTATTGGGCTAATAAAAATTAGATGATCTATTGGATTTATAGATATTATAATAAAATACATGTTTAAATTAAACTTATATAATTTAATATTGTAATAGTATAAGTTAATTATCTATATATTTTTGATGTTAACTTTAAAAATTATATAGTTTATTTTTCAAAATAACAAAATCATCATTTTCTAACAATAATTAATCTATACTATATAATAATTAATCATCATTTTTGATAAACACATATTATATAATATATACCAATTTAGAAGTAAAAAAAATATTTATATAAAAATAAATGAAAACAAATACCCGCGCGGTTGCTCGGATTGAGATCTAGTTATATTATTAAAACATAATCAGTTTTAATTGTTAAGTACCTATATTATCAAAATAAAATTACTCTTAACTATTACTTTAGGATATGACTCGGATTGAAATGCAGATTGCGTTTAATTTATTTTGTTTCATCATAAAATCAACAAAATAAAAATATATTGATTCATCTAATCTTCTAAATAAAATGTTTGGTTATTCGAGATTGTGATGTAATATATATGCTTTATATAAAACCTATTTTATTTAGTTGTTTATATTAAAAATTGGAGTATTAGTTATATTGTTTAATGTTAGTGTTTTGTGTTGTGTATTTATACAAATGTTTTAGCCTTCATATCACTTTCTCTTTTAACCACATAGATTCATCAAAACCTAAAAGTGGATCTAAAAATTAAGGTGGCAGAGTAACTGAAGAGAGGTACATAGTTTCTGAATTGGTTCCAGAAAAAAATCAATACTCATCCGAGAAACCCAGAAAAAGGTTTTAATTTGGAGATGAAATGTGTATTTAAAAGAAAATGATATGAATATGTTCTTTTTGTATATGATAACCAATTTAAATATATTCATACAAAATTGTATATGAAATGTATTATTATATTTAGTTACAATATATTCAATAGGTCCAAATTTAAAACATGCCAAGGTAAACTTCAAATAGGACTCTAAATTAATAGATTAGATTGGTAAGATTTTGAATTTTTAGAACCTTCCTAGTCCAAATATGCTAAATCTCAAAACAAACTCAAACGAGTTTAGCCCCAAGAGCTTATTTTTGTCAGTATATAAAACTAAATTAGGACATCTCCAACTATATTCTATTTTCTATTCCAAATATCATTTTGGAGTAAAATTCTCTTTAACACCATTCCATTTTCAACTTCAAAATAGAGTAATGGCTAGGATTACTCCATTTATAGAGGAATCTTATACATTACTCCATTTTAGAGTTGAACTGTTTTTATTTATGAAATGATCTTTTTAACTCTCTAATGTTCTTATTTCTTATTTAAATAATATTTTAAAAATACAATAACATGAAAACAAGATATTTTATTATTTAATAATTTGACATAAAAAATACATAGCATAATTACAAACATAAATAATATTAAATAAAAAATAACATAAAATAAGTGATTTAATAATCTAGCAAATTGTTTCCAAATCCATTAAGACCGGTGAAGTATTGCTCAAACGGAAAACATTAAAAAAGCTTGTTGATCTTGTAACTCATCATTTCGTTTTGATATTATTTGCGCTTGCTGAGCTTGAATATACACACAACATTTGGATCTTGTATGAAATTCAAATCACAAAACAAAATTTTAAGACATTTTAAAATAGTTGAAGATAATTGGTAAATTTTATAAATATAAGATATTATTAACAATTATTAATTATTTTGGAGTAAAAAAATAGAGTAATGCCTTGAAATAAAAATTTACTCTATTTTGGAATTATACCATTTTAGAATAAAATATAGAGTAATACATTGGTGATGCTCTTAAAAATTAGTAATTTATAGGCCAAGGCGAATTAAAACTCTAGGCTTCTGACCTAATTAACCTGTCTATAGAGAACAATGAATGATTTAATAGATCCTTTGATAAAAATGGAAGTTGGGTGTTTCATTCTACGTTGTATAGAAACTTAACTATAAAATTATCTTGTTGATCCGCGCGTCCGCGCGGATGTATGTTCTATATAATTATATATTTGTGTTAGTTGTAAAGAACATTCACATTTATGTTTCATTGATTATTGAGTTCTAATCTCTGTGTATCTTGTTTATTTTGTCTAGTGTTTTTTTAACTATCATATTGTATTTTTTTATTGTATTTTTTTACTTGATAAACAAAACAATTCAGTGTAAAATTTTATAGTATTTTGTTTAGATTGTGTGTTTTATTAAATTATACTATAAATTTTGTGATTGAAATTATTATTTAAAATTATATTTTATATATACTTTTAAAAAAAGAAAATTATTTAGACAGCAAAAATAAAAAAATAAAAACATTCACAAAAAAATAACTCTAGAAATTTTATTGACAAATGTCATTTTAAAATTGAATTTGGTAATTTAGTTTTGATATTAAACTATTGGACCTTGAATTTTTATCAAGCTCATTTAAAATTAAATGTTTTAATTCCAATGGCATATGGTTGTAATATTTGAGGAAAATTGAGAGATTTTTTCTATTTGTACTCCTCTTTTAATATTTTAGATAGTAAGCCTCACAAAAAAAATATCTTAGAAAATGAAGAAACAAAATAAATATTCCATACAACGGAGTTCGAAACACCCAACATCCAATTTATAAAATAATATCTTATGTCATTAATTATTCTATCAAAATAATAGTAATAATAATCATGTTTAAAGCTAAATGTGTCACATAATTTTTTAATATGTTGCCAGTATCGTCACCTTTTTCATTGTTTCCTTCGTCAATTGACCGTGTCTATAATTCTCCTACATACGTCAGCAATCTAAACAAGAAAGTGAGAAACTATTCGTTGACCACGTGCTGAATATGGTTCTCACGTGTGTTAAATCATTATACCCATGTGTTTAAGATATAACATATATATATAAACACACACACGAGACAAACGAGTCACACACCATCAAATCATCATAACTCAAGATCCTTAACGTAGTAATAGAGAGAGATGGATTACGTCTTTCTTGATTCTGTTTTCCAAGAAGAAGGAGAAAACTTCTGGAATCTGATCGCCGGTGACGTCTCCGGCGATGGCGAGGGTCACAAAACAGTAAGTGAACAAAACAGAAGTGCCTTCAGGTCATACGTGAGGGTCAATGAACAGAGGATGGTATTGTCTTCATCGACGGTGAACGTGAAGAGAAGAATGGTGAATCTCCTGAGAAAGAATTGGGAGGAGAAGAAAATTGGGACGGCGCCGGAGAAGGAGAGATGCCGGCAACATATGATGAAAGAGAGAACGAGAAGAGAGAAACAAAAACAGAGTTACTTAGCTCTTCATTCTCTATTACCACTTGCCACTAAGGTACAATACTGGTTTTTTTTTTTAAAAAAAGAGTCTTTGATTTTCTTAATGACTTGGAAATATATACTAATTATTATATAATTAAAAGGTAGCCGATATTCGTATTTTTGTTAGTTTTTTTACTGATGTATTTTTGTTAGTTTGTTTCAGAAAATTATTATAAAAGTTTCAAATACATAATTTATCTTAATATTACTGATATGTTTGTTTGTTTCAGAATGATAAAAATTCGACTGTTGAAAAAGCGGTAGATCAGATTAGGAAATTAGAAGGATTAAAGAAAGAACTAGAGAGAAGAATGAATGTGTTGGAGGCAAAATCAGCAAAGGATCATGATGAAATGAATGGAACAAAGGTTAGATTTCATGTACAGGAACCTTTATCGGGGATCGATTCAATGGTAGAAATCCTCCAGTCTCTTAAATCAATGGGGACAAAACTCAAAACGGTCGAAGCCAATTTCTCTCCTCACCAGTTCTCAGCGACCATGAACATTGAAACTCAGGTATATATATTCCATTCAATTTTTTTCCAGAATATTTTTTTTTTCTTTTTGGATTAGTTTGCACAAGCTTATACATGCATTCTACTATTCTAGGTTGGCTGTCATTCGATCTCTAGATTTTCCTTGATGTTTTATTGGATCAAACTAATGGTCTTTAATAGTTTTTGAGGGTTTTATGTTAACAGAACATATAGAAACCATAATCTTTAGTAGAAAGAACGTTAGAAATATCTTCTTATATTTTACCTACGTAGTGTTTTGTTATGACAAACAATATTGGCTTTCATATTCTAACAGCAATCCAGCACCAAGAAAAACAGGAATATCTTCGTATTCGGGGAAGACAATATTTTTGTGGACCTCATGTTTGAAAAAGGCATATATATATTTTTTAAAATAGCAATAAAAGTAAACTAACATTTGGTTAAAAAGCAGCAATGTGTTGTAAAATTTTGAGGATTGAAGTTTTTTAAATATAACCATTTTACAAATCCACGTTGAATACATGCTTTTAAAGTCACAATTCTCTGAAAAAAAAGAATCTTAAGAAATGTTATTATCCAACACAGATAGAAGGGGCTGAACAAAACATTTCTTAAAATCCTAGGAACCAAGATCTTAAAGATTTTTTTTTCAAAAAAATAGGATCCTATGCAAAAGTACATACACCCCTAGAGCCGGATCCTCTTCGTATTGAGATTTGCGTGCAATGTATCAAAAGTTACTTTTTAAATGAACTTCAGTTAAAATTTATTGGTTAAGCGGCTTCAAATATGGTGAATGCAATTTATTGTTTAATTTGTCTTTCTTTAGTTGATGAAATAAAAAAATATAACTGCACAAATTTAATCATTTAGTTGCAATGATGTTCATGAATATATTCTCTCTCTCTTTTTAATATTTAATACTTTATAATTTTTTAGAAATTAGATGATATTTTAAGTTCTAATGTAAAATTTATTAGTTTTTTTTGTCTTGTGATCATTTTTATGATGCAGTTTATTTTACTATTGGTAAATTTTTTTTAGGTAGATTAAAAATAGAATATCATCGTACACCATTAGTAAACAGATTTGTATGACGATATTAGTTAGAGATTTTTTTTTCTTGTAAACAGTTAGAGATTAAACTTAAATTAAACATTAATTTGGCAGATAAGAGGAGAAGAAGTGGAAAAAAGAGTACAGAAAAGACTCCAGGAAACTGAATGGAAACTCCTCTTTCCCCAAGAAGCTTCGTTTCTCAAAGACTACTGACTTATTTTCTTTTGACTTTTTTTTTTATTCATTCTCGTTCTTAATTTTGTAGAACTTTAAATTAAATGGCACTGCTTTGTTGACAAAACAAGTAAGCACATTGGGTCAATAGACTCAATACTTGTAAGTTTTGTCTCTACTGTATGAATCAGTGGGCCATTTACTTTCTCTTTCCACAAATTGAAATAAATAAATGGCCATATATTATGTAGTTAAAATGTTACTACAGTTGTATATAAAATATAAATAATACTACAAATACCATATTTAACTATTATTCTTAGTCCAACTTAATGATGCTTCTGGTACAGTTTAGTTGAACTAATTGTGAACTAATTTATCAGCATTCGTATACAACTATTCACCATGAGGTCAATTACCTAAGATGTTAATTAATCTCATAGTCGCCAAACTTTTATTGTCAAATTTGTATACAAAAGATACCTTGGCATGTGACATCATCTATTTAGGCAGTCGCCGAATGGAGTAAAATCCAAAGGGTGTTATAACAATCAACGACCAGTCAATATCTTCTTTACCAGTCGACGATCATTTTACTTGATTGCTCTCGATAACGAGAAGAGCTTATGGTGAAGTTTTCTTCTGGTATGTGATTCGGCAATTTGTGGAGTCGAGATGATTTTTTTTTAATGAATGTTAAGATTTATTCAAACAAAAAAACCCCTTTATATTACATTTACAAAAATGTTTCATATGTAATAAAAGGTTCTATACATTCTTAGCCTATAGTCAAACTACGAACTAGAAATTGATCTTGTTGAAAACCAGTAACTAAACCCATCCTCCAATCTCGTGTTTCCCATTCTCTAAACCGAAGCAAATCTGTTTTTGATATGTCTATCCATGTTTTTGATCAGAGTAGCTATAGTTCAAGGCTTCTCACCATGCCTTCTTCCATTTCTCTCCATCCAAATTCCATGTATACTCGTTTGAAATGTATATCTCAATGTGAATAGTTTTGTACTTTTATGATTGGTGGAAAGCAGAGTCACTATATCCCTTCAGCAAGTTGCAAACTCACTACCTATACTCTCGCAAGATTTTCCCAATCAGCTGCTGAGAATCTGCACTCAAAAAATAAATGGTCTCTTATTTCCACTGATTCATTACATAATGAGCAAGCAATATTCACATAACCTCCTCATTTTAGCATCCTATCTCCTGTAGATAGTTTATTGTGCATAGAAATCCACGTGAGAAAGCATATTTTAGAGTTGCATATCTGAACCAAACTCCATTAGTCCAAAGTACATAGACTCTTTTTTGTTCTCATGAGTTCCCAAGTTGATTTTGTTGAAAACTTACTCTTGAACTTATCATCACTCAATTTCCACATAACAACATTCTCTTCTACTGATGCTTCATCTTTCCATTTAGCTATCTCGTCTTCAACTACATTAAGTAATGGGATTCGATGTTTTCTTCGACGATGAGAGACCGCATCTTCCATCATTGCATTAACTCCAATGCCCACGTCAATATAACCTCTTGTTCCAATAACCTCCACCAGACAACTACCCAAAGAGGACCAACTATAATGCCAAAAGGAAGTTGATTTCCCATTTTTCACTTGCACCTGATAAAATTTCTTAGCCATCTCTCCATATTTCAATATCTTACCCCACATCCATGATCTCATTTGTGTTTTTCCCTTCACTATCCAAAGAGAACCTTTGCGAATCAGATAGAATTGTATTCATTTTACCCATAACGAGTTCTTGGATGAAAAAAATCCTCCATATTAGCTTCATCACACACACAGTATTCATCTCCTTTAAACCTCTGATGCTTATCCCTCCTTCATCTTTTGGTCTACAGACTTCTACCCAAGCAATATTCGCTTTTTTCGGATTCAGTGATGGACCAGACCATAGGAACATAGAGCAGAGCTTTTCAATCTCTTTTAGACAAGAGACTGGAAGCTGAAATGCCGCTAGCCAAAAGTTAGCTAGACTTGAGATTACAGACTGATTGAGTTGCAACCTTCCTACAAAGGACAGAAATCTTCCAGTCCAAAAGCTTATCCTCGATCTTATCTTCTCTATAAGAGGGAGATAATCACCCACGGTCATCCTTTTCGTTAATAATGAAACCCCAAGTACCTCACAGGTAGCTATTCAGATTCAAAAGAGAAAGCTGAGATGTCCTCCTTACTTTGTTGAGATATTCATGCCATGTAGAGAGTTGATTTCTTAAGATTTATTTTGAGTCCCAAAGCTTTTTCAAATTCTTTAAAACCATCAAAAATACTCTCCAATGATCTCTTCTTCCCATCGGTAAACACCATCAAGTCATCAGCAAAACACAAGTGTGTTAGACTGATATTTTGACATCTTGATGATAACCAAATCTTCTATTCTCTGCTGCTTCATCAATCAATTTCGAGAGTACATTCATACTGATGACGAAAACATAAGGCGACAAAGAGCATCCCTGCCTCAGTCCTCTTGTACTTTAAAAGTACCTCGCAAGCTCTCCATTAATCTGAACTGAGAATGAAGCCGTACTGATACAAAGATTAATCCAATGAATAAATTTCTCTGGAAATCCCAAAGCTTTCAAAGTAGTAAGCACAAAAAGCCACTGCACATACTTAAATGCTTTAGAAATGTCTATCTTCATTGCACAGTCAGATGACACTGATTCCTTGTGATAATCTTTGACGAATTCTGTTGGCAGCAGTAGGTTTTCCATCAAAAATTTACCACTGATGAATGCATACTGATTCCAAACAATTATATCTTGCAAAACACATTTGAGTCTATTTGCTATAAAGAACATTGCACAACAATATCGGTCGATAATCTCTCATCTATTCTGCCTTCTCTTTCTTTGGGATCAATGCAAGAATCATCGAATTAAGACCTTTTGGTAGGAAACCTTTCAAAAAGAAAGATTGTACTGCCACAATTACATCCTTTCCAATCCCCATGCATCCTTGAAGAACTTACTAGTATAACCATCAGGCCTGGAGATTTATCATTTGGCATTTTGAAAATTACCATCTTCACTTCTTTTTCTGTCACCACTTTTTGTAATTTTTCCTTATATGTATCACTGCAGCTAAACTTCAGTAATCCTTTCAGCCTTTCTTCAGATATGCCCTCATATTCAGGAGGCTGGTGAGTAAGAAAATCTGCAAAATACCTCTCCGCTTCAATTTAATATTATCTCCGAATATCACTGTGCCATCATGCCCTCTCAATTCATGTATTGCATTTCTTACTTCCCTCAGTTTCGCTGCATTATGAAAAGCTTTGGTATTTTGATCTCCTACTTGAAGCCAATGTAGCTTTGATCTTTGTTTATAGAATCTCTCTTCCAAATCTGCTAAATCCTGCCATCTCTCCATCTCTATTTTTTTTTCTCTTAATTTTTCCACAGTAGGATCTTCCATTGTTTCTTTTTGTTTCCTACATAATGAATCAATAGTTTCTTTAGTTTTCCTTCAAATCCTCTAGCTTCGTTATACTAAGTACACGAAGAAGTTGCTTCAGAGCTTTAAGATTCTTTGTCAATCTAAACATAGTCGTAGTTGAATGAAATAGTGGCAATGTTTCTTCCCACTTCTCTTTGATCAACCCACTGAATTCTGACATCTTCCCAATAACATTAGTAAATTTGAAAGGATACCTCTTTCTTTCCTCTGCAATTTGAATTTGTGTTATGCTTCTTCAATGGTCTGAGCACCCATCCGCTTCAAAGACACTATACGATTACGTATCTTAATGCAGCCATATATCAGTCACCAATACTTTATCCAACTTCTTGCTAATCATACCCTCTTCGCTTCTGTTACATCAGGTAAATAAAGGACCCTGAGCACTGATATCTGACAAGCAACAATGTCTTGCTACCCTGTGAAAATCTCTCATCCCATTAGAGATAGTAGGATCCTCAGCATATCTAGACTGTTCACTTCCTTCAAGTACTTCGATGAAATCACTCATAATAATCCAAGCTTTATCTCTAAACATTGGAGAATCATGATGATTACAAATATCATCCCAAAGCTCCCTTCTATCTTCAACTGTATTTTTAGCATAAAAACGAACATAAAATATCTTTCACCAACCCCTGAATCTTCACAGAGCAAGTAATTATTTGTATCACTCTTAAAAACTGGAGGCCTTATATTTGATTTTTATACCACCCATATCCTACCAAGAGCATTATGCTCATAATTGGCCATAAAATCTCAATCTTTAAAATTTTCAGAAACAATTTTCCCAGCCTTAGCTTCCTTCACTCTTGTTTCCAACAAACATCCAAAACTCATCCCATTACTCTGCCACCACTTCCTTACCACAAAATGCTTTGTTGATTTATTTAATCTTCGAACATTCCATGAGAAGACTGACATAATTAATGGTTATTTCGAGTACCTTTTCTACTCTTTTATCCATAACATCCGGATCAACAACTTTGTGATTTGTTTTTGATGGTCTGGGAAGATTCTGTCTCAGAGGATTCTCAATACTCTGTCAATTTTCCTCTAGTCCCAATCTTCTTGGGAAGTTGTGATATTTCATCCGATACACTCAAAGCCGAGAATCTTGATGGTGTAGTGATCTGAACTTTCCTATATTTTGGAGTTTGCTTCTGTTAACTCAAGCTTCTTTTTATCTTTCCTGGTATTAGACAGTCATTCACAATTTGCCCTTCCTCTAAGTCATTTATCATTTCATGTTTACCTCTCATCCGTTTCACTTCTGGTGGATGAATCTCAACATCATTTTCTTGTATATTCTCTTCTTGTTCCTTATGAGAACTCAGAGAGCTTTTATTTTCCTCAACTTCTTTTTCTGTACTTTCTTCTGTCTCCTTCAACATTCTTCCTGACCTTTCTTTTAAGAACTGGAAACTTCCTTTACTTCCTACTTTCTCCTTCAGCTTCTCTTTTGATCCACAATTGATCTCAATGTGTCCCCACTTCCTGCACTTCTCACATCATGATGGTAGCCAAGGATATGTAAAGTCTACACAGTGTACCTTTCATTCTATTGTGAAGTTGATTGATTCATGGAAACCCTAGCCAATTTTGTATTTCCAAAGACCTTTGCAACATCATATGAAGTGCAAGTTTCCGTCTATGGATGCAATCTCACTAGTTCTCCCATTGCACTAGTGATAATACTTAGTCCCTGCCACAAAACATATTCATCGGCACCTTTGTAAGATGAACCCACAATGGTATTGAGACCTCTTCAGGAGCTGATTCTTCTCTGATCGGATTCCATTTCAAAACCACTAGTGGAACATCAGCTATATTCCATATCCCATGATTCAGAACTCTCTCTCTCACCTTAGGATTTGTAATCCGAAACCGCATCGTTTTTGAATCCATCTCAATCACATCGATCTTCTGATTTTTGTTGCCAAATGACCAAATCTTATTCAAAATTACATGTAACTTAGCAACATGTGTTGTTGCATCCAGAAAACTTACTAGCACGAAATCTTCCCAGAGCGGAGATGAATCTTCTGTAATCTCACTTGGAATCTCTACTGATTTGTGACCATTCAGCTGAAACCTCCACGTCGTACTTCCCCAATTCTTTCTTCTGAACTACCGAGACTAATATATGGTGTTTTTGACATCATTGTATGAATGCTTTGAGTTTATTCTAAGCCATGATTCGTGTTTATTTGATATCATTTCAGGTCTGGAGCCGGTGAAGGAGTAAAGAAGAGGATGCATGAAGTAAAGATGCCAATTTGGAGTTTTCAACGCAGAACAGCCAAGCAGAACAGTCCGAAGGTTGTTCCCCCAAAGAACAAGCGAGGGACTATTCCCGACGAATAAGGAAACCTCCAAAATTTTGGAAGTTTCCCTTGATTTTCTCTCCCCTCTCTCTTTACCACCGCCGCCTCCATTTAAAAAGTCTATCTATATATTTTATTATTTTCTACACTAGTTTTACAAGAGACCTAGACTTGTACTTGCCATTTGCAACTTGTAAGGGAGAAGGCTTCGATTCTCACCACGAGAAGACTATCCTGAACCCTTGTTTTTCTACTTTACTTTTTATGCAGTATTATTCAGAAATCATCTATGTGTCATCTTGCATAATGATTGAGTAGTCGTCAAAGCTTGCTTAGGGTTTTTAAGGTGTTGTTCGCATGAGCTGAACATAGATAAGCAATTTCATAGGTTCTTCCTTCATATTGTTCTTACTGCTTGCATTAAAATTATCACTTAATGTCAGATCTTAAGATTAATCACTTAGCTAACCATGCAGGAGATAACTTGATATATATTGAATGAGCTTAGCATCCCTAATCAGCGAAAGTATATATTTGGGTGCTAAGTGAACACATCAGACCTGATCTCTAAGGCTTGCTATCGATTCTTGTTCCAAGCGAGAGCTTAGGTGGAAAAATCAGTAAAGGAGATGATTCCACGACAGTGGTTGTCTCAGCCGAGTGATCCGAGTTTTAGACTGCATCTCATCGAGATTGAATAATTGTTTGGCTCCGCTTCAGCATCCGATGAAATAACCTATGCTGGCTTCTTGTTTAAATTGAATCAAACCTCTAGTTTACTTGTTACTCACGTCACTATTGAAATTAAAACCCACTCTTGTTCTCAGCTTGATATCAAACTAATAAGAGTAAAGTGTAAACTGGTCCTCTGGATTGAATCTCAAATATTACAGTTATAACTGTTAAACTTGACAATAGCAAGGATTCATTTTTAGTGTATCAGAGACCCATGATGGTGGAGCCTTAGGTGATGAATCATCCGAGATCACCTCGTCTGCTATCATTGCCGCCGACATCGATTACAGCGATCGCAAACCAAAGTGTGAAGAGAGAAACACCAAAATCGCCAAATCGCCTTCGTCAAGATGATCTTCTTAATCTCTATATTAGCTTCAACGGTTGAACTTAAATAATATGTACTATTTACCTATAAGTATAACAAACAAGAAGAATTATTGTTAATACGATTGGTAAATCGATTAAAGTTGTTAGTGAAATCATAAGAGTTTTGTTCTCTTCCCTGACAAAGACAAGGTAAACAATTCTCATGTTTTCCATGATTGATTGTTTGCATTAGCTAGATGAATCTTAGACTGAATCAAATCTAAATAGATTGGAAGTATAAACTGAATCTTAACAAGTTTTATCAGAGTGAGGTTTACTTTATTACGATTATAGTCCTCAATGTTTTCTCTGATCTGGTTTCAGTTACAAGTTTGAGAATGAAATTTGTTCATGGAAAGTTTTGAATGGAAATTTTGATGGACATGAATATTTTGGTATGCAAAATTTCAAAATATTGATGCAGCTAGAAATTCAAGGCCTAAGATACGTTTTGAGTACATAATCAACTCCAAAGAGGAAGAATATGACTCTGGCACCAATACTGAGTCTATAACTAAAAAAGACCTGACGGCCAAAGAAAAGGATACAAGATCTAGAAACCTTATTTGTTCATGCTTGATGTATAGGGTATTAAAGAAGGTGACGAAAAAGACCACTGCTATGGAGTATGAAAAGTGTTTGAAGGTGATTACCACACAAAGAATTTTCCAAATTGCATCTATTTGAATCAAAGTTTTGAAAACTACAAGCGACTGAGAATAAAACTATTAAAGAGAACTCGAAAACCTTCTTGAAGCTAGTTTATGATCTTGTGACTCTGAATGTAAGTGTATCTGATGAAGATCAGACTATTTATATACTCATATGCCTTCCATCCCAATATAACTTGTTGGCTTATACATTAAAATATGGGAATGAGAAGGAAAATTTAAATGTAAAAGAAGTTACTACTTCAACCTATGCTAATTAAACATAATCAAAGAAGAAAGTCTAATGAGAAGACCGACATTAAATGCTGAAGGCTTAGACCTAGATTGGAATAGTTGATGACAAAACAGTAAGAGTATGTTACAAAAATTGTATGCCTCATTAATATATTTATTAAAGTGATTGATAGGTCAATAAATGATTCATTATATAAATTATCATATAAAATTAGCATATGATATAATATATATTATATAAATTTAAGATTTATGTTATCAAGAATAATGTATCATATATAATTATATATTAGATTATATTTTTATTTTACATATTATTATTTTATGTAAATAATAATAATTTTTTAATCTTATAGTTAGTTTCAAAGAAAAATTAATTTTTGGATATAAACTTAATTTTTCTAAAATACAATAAATTAATTCTATAAAATAATTAAAAATATTTTTTGATAAATTATTTTAAAGTTCTATATATTATATTGCATATGCTTTATCATAAATTTCTTATAAAAATATTGAGCAAAGAACATTTGAAGAGGATATGCATCTCTTACATGCTTTTCAAATTATTTTTACTATTGATTGCATATTAAACAATGCTTTTTAAAAATGATTTACTAATCAAAGTCTTAGTTTTCTCAATAAGAAGAACTAAGAAATGGTTTAATAACAAGGAAGGACTAGATCAAAGAATAAAGACTTCAGGTTAAAATCTACTGGAAGCTATAAACGGAAACAAATGAATGTTGAATTTGTGGAAAGGAATAGCACTTCAAAGAAAATGTTCAAAATGAAAGGATAATAAAAGCATTCAACTCAGCCACTGGTGCTCAAGATAAAGAATACCCAATGATTCTTACAACAAGTATTCAAGACACAAAAGAAATGTGTCTTGATTATGGATCTTTCACATTACTCCTTCGTGAAGTCCTATTTGATCTAGAAGAGTTTGAAGGAGGACCAGTATTGATGAGAAACAACACATACAGAGAAAAGAGATTGGTTAAGTGAAAACAGTTAATCTTGATATGTGTACTTTGTGCTAATAGAGGTAATATACATGTTTTCAATACGAAGTATTATATATTTTGGTCAGATGGAGAAACATGGATCTAACTATATAGGAGAAGAATATAAGATTACATTCTATAGAGATGGGAAGAAATTTATCACTAGTTTATAAAAATGGAATATACTATCTGAAAGGTTAAGTTGTAAAAGCGGAAGTCTTAGTGAATGATTTCAAATAGGTGGAAACACTATATGAGTTGGTTAAAAGACAAGATTTTCCATCGATAGGGAATCACAGATGGTTCCCATGACCATGAGGGTACGTTACCATCAAAGAGAACCACATTTTTCAGATTTCTGCGAGATGCTTCATGCGGTCATCTGGTCTCTGCCTGCCAACAAGTTTACTTTCTCATTTCTCAACCAACCAACCAAGATACATCTACTCTATTAAGATAGAATCTTTTTTTTTATCTAGTAATACAAGTTGTCATTTAAATTTAGATTTTTTTATAGTGTTACAAATAATACAAGTCATATAGTTTATAGGATATAGTTTTAGGTTTATTTTTGTTTTTAAAACAAATTATATGGTTTGATTTTTGGGCTTAGTATTAAAGAAAAACTCCAAAAATATTGAATAAACTTTTAATTTTAATAGATCAAAAATCAATTTTTATTTTTAGGCCTAGAAGGTATTTAATATTTTTAACAAAGCAAAATTGTCTATTATTAATCATTTATTAAATCATGTACTTTAAAACATATTAATTTATTTTTATTTTATATAATAATCACTTTATTTTGATAAATTTCAATGGTAACTTTTAAATAATTTATTGTTTTATTTTTCTTAAATAATTTACTGATTTAACAAAAATACAAAGCAAAACCAAAAACCAAATATAAAAACTAAAATTCAAAACTAAAAGTTGAAAACGCAGGTTATATTTTTTTTGCTTTTGTTTATTTACAAAATAAATTATTACAATTTTTTTTTTTTAAAAAAAATTGTGTCATCTTTTCCGTCTTAAATTAGATGTTTGATTATTTAGAACTTGTTTGTTGGTAATATCAGTTCAAATTTCAACGGGTCTAAAAATTAAAAAATAAACCAAAAGCTGAAAATCAAAAATAGAAATATAAAACGAAAAACGAAAAATAAAAACTGAAACTAAAAACTAATAAAAATCAATCATCACCTCAAAAAATTTGTGAACTAATTTTATATCAAAACATTATTTAAATTAAGAAAAAATCTAAATATATAAATTTTTAATCATAAAAAATTTCTGCGCAAAACGCGGATCAAAATCTATACTTAACATGTTTACCAAAAATAAATAAATACATGTACATGTATCGATGTAAAACCTATTTGATTACATAAATACCCAAATTTCTCTCAAACAAGTATTATCTGTTTAACGAATATTCTAAAAGCCTAACATCTTTCTCTGCTGAATTTTCCGACTAAGTTCCTCTGCCGACGGGATACCTTCACCTCCGCTTCTTCCGGCACTTTTTCCAGCGCTTCGCCACCATGCTAGCAACTCCTCCTGCTCAGTTAAGAAAATATGAAATACTCAAAAAATTAAAGACACAACAAATTAAACTCTTCACAACAATAGTCTGACCAAGAAAAAAACAGAAAGCGCTTAACATTCTTATAACTAATAACAGTGTGAGTAGTTTACCTCAAGAAAGTCGTGGTTTGAGATAAACTGAGACTCAACAAAGCAAGTGATCCCTCCAACCTTAACCGAAACAGAGCTGTTCAGTGGATGTTTCTTTGAGCTTTGTCCCTCTGGGGCACCTGGATATGTAGTTAAAACCAACATTGAAGTCACAAATATACACGTGCTTTCGAATAAAGATTTAGCAAAACATACCTTCAATGCGGGCTACGTGATACCCGGTTCCTCCTAGCCCTTCTGCCCATTTCCCCAGCCTTAACCGCAAGAAGAACCCTTCAAGACCCGATACAGACTTCTTGCTGTTAATCCATCTGAAATTAAATATTCAAATTGATACTGAAGTGTTATCACACACAATGTGACAATAAACAGTTTTTAAATATGAAGTGTTATCACAACGCCAGAGGCAGGACCGACACGTGGCAAGACATGATTAGTCTAGACCACTTCTGTGGGGGCCTGTATACCCCTGTATAATTAAAAAAAAAAGTATGAAATGAATCTTACTTGAGAACGTCTGTGCGAGTCAACCGAAGCACTTGAACAGCTTCAAAGACCGTCTTTGGTACGTCTGTGAAACCCCTGAAGGGTAGTTTAGTGCCAGAGGTAGAAGCTATGGCTCTACCTTCAGCTCCTGAACTGTAGGGTGGAGCATTTGGGCATGTTGCAGCCCAGTGACTTAGCTGAAAACATCTAATGCATAGACTTGACCCTTCTTTTCTTCCATTCCGAGCATTTATGTTCTGGACTAGATCTCTGAGCTCAGTGTCAGTTACTTCCAAACAATCCTGTAAGCGATGACTCTTTTTACCACAGTAGAAACAGATTAGGTTCCTCTGTCCCTCCTCTGTGTTATCACCTAAAGAACATGTGGGCAGCATGTGTTTCATTGCTTCTAATCTTCTTGCAAACAAAGAAGCCATTGCTTCTGAAGACTCTATTCTCAGTGAAGATACTATGGGAAGAATAGCGTTGTTCTGCGGTGGATCATTAGCCTCTTTAGCCACTTCCTTAGTGATTCTCTCATGAAAATCTTTTTTCTGAGGGAAAGAACTTTTAGAAGAAAACCGGCTTATCCACAAACTTTCAAGAGCAGAGTTCTTGTTGGTTAAACATTGAACAACCTTTTCATCAGCTTCACAACAGGCCTTTTGCTCTTCCTCGTATTTCTTCTCTGAACAGAATGTTTCATTTGTCTGGTTAAATCCAATGCTGGGTTCAGCCACTGGAGCAACCTTATTGCCAGATGAAGACAAATGATCTCCTTTAGTATTAAGACAATGTTCAGGAAGTTCCTGCAAAGAAGCTATATTAGCATCATTAGAGGAATCCATCTTTACAGCGTCTTGATCACTTTTCTTCTGACAATATATAGACTGGAAAAAAGACTGGAACCCAGTGTTTCTGCATCGGCTCATTTCTGGTAGATCAACGATGGCATTGACTTGACCTTTAGCATCTGATGCGGTGGTAAGAGCTACAAAAGGAGATTTGTCTTCTTCATTACCTTTCCAGATTCCTTTAGTCATGTTTGATATCCAATTCACAAATGAACTATCTTGCTTGAGCTTAGAAGTTGATTCCAAACATTCTTGGCTTAGCGTTTTGAGCCTTTTGCTTCCAAGAATCAGCTGCTGCTCAAATCCTGGTCTTTTCTTTCCCCTTGTAAGCAAACCAGCACTGTTGCAACTTTCTACACTCCCAAAACTCTCATCATCATCAAAGTTTCCATCAGATAAAGCTTTTTCTTTCCCTTTTGCTTTGGTAAGATGCCCACTGGGTCCGGCCTTTTCAGCATCTGTCTCATCCTGCGGTAAGCATTCCCCTTTGCTCTCACACACCACCAAAGCCTTACTAGTAGGACTTGAGAGGTCGTTCTCATCCGTTGCTTCTACACGTTCAGCATCAAGAGCTGTCTTATCCCCAATGTTAGTTGGTTCCTCTTGAGATCCAGCTCTTTCCAATCTCAACTGTTCACTTGCCATTAAAGCTTCGGTTTCTCCTCTTGGACTATCTACTCAATGTTGAGATATCATAAGTTACAAATAAAATAAATAAAAACTTAAAAACACATATTGATAGAAACTAACAAGACAATGAGCTTTGTACAAACCATTTTCACCTGAAGATCTATTGGAACTTCCTACTCTCTTCTCTGCTTCTACAGAATCATCATTTGTTTCAACCTTATCCTCATCCATCTCTTTTATTTCAGGTTTCATATCCTCAACAGAACCACCAACCCCTGCAAACACAACATACCTCTCATTACTTGAAGCTCTTAATAAAGATAGTTCAACAAACACGAGAAACAAAACATTTTAGCAACCTGAAATTGGTCTGTTCACCCCGCTACACGCTTGATTCACTTCATCATCAGTTCTATCTACACGGAAACTGGCTTCTTTTTCTTCCATACTTATGCTTTTGGAATGAGACTCCATGTGGCTATCATCAAAGAAACGAGGAGAGAGTAGTTTCCCTTTTCCTGTGAAACTGAAATCAGCACATCTTAGGCTAAGACCGTTGCGAGGAGACCATACTAACTCTGATAAAGCATCCACCGAACCATACTTCATCCTCGTTTCTGCATTTTCACTTCTACTCGGACAAGAACGTCTTAGCTCTTTACTGTGATCATCTCCATCACCCATATCTCCTGAAACCAACCACCCTGAGACATATATGATTGAAGAAGAATCCACACAAAAGACAAAATTGACCTCAACAATCAAATATCTTACCTCACTTAGCTTACAAAACAAGAAACTATATGTAAAGCATCAGACTCATAAACCCATAGAACTAACTTAGAATCAAAACTATATATACACATGACAAATCAAACAAAAGATTACCTCTATCTCAAGCAATAATATTTCAATACTTAAACCCTAGACCTAGAAATCCAGAGAAAGAGACTTCTTTCTTAGAATCAAAACCCAGAACACAATTAACAAGGGCATAAAAACGTCAGAGAATAATTAAGAAAAAATGAGAGAAGCACAAAGTTACCTCCATCGAGGAATCGATATTCTTACTTCCAGCGAGTTCTCCACTAATAATAAAGAAGATACAAATGAGAGGAAGTGAGAGAGAGAAGAGGAGAGGAAGAAGACGAAGACGACAGCGCCAAGCGGCTATGGGCCTAACGATGTGATTTGAAACTTGCTTCAATTGCTTTTTTTCATGTCGTTACAAGGCCCCCGGGCCGCCACGTGTCCACCTTCTTCTCCATACATTTCACTCTTCCAAACTTTAAATAAAAAGTAGTCTAGTTTTTCTTAACATTTAGACCCAAAAAAAAAAAAAGTAGTCTAGTTTTTTTTTCTGCTTTTGGCTTATAAATATAGACATACATAATTTTTATTTTCTTGAAACACTCTAGTTTTGTAGTCAATGTCTAAAGGTTTCTACATCAAATATGAAGTTTGATATTTAATTATTGTAAATTAAATTATAAGATGTAAAACTTATAAAATTGATAAAGTAGTTAAAGTAGAATCATTTGTTGTAGTCATTTGCTACAGAGAAAGTTTATCTACTGAAAACAACTTATATACATAACCGTCTTTTGATCTGAATAATATATACAGAGATAAATCATCGGATAATTGTCCATGAATTTATTTATCAATATCACATATATTGAAGGTATTTGATCATATATAATAAATATAGACATGAAATGGTGATGTAATTTATGATTTGATCATTTTAAAAATATTTTATTAGAATTTTTATTCAAAAACTCGTTATAATTTACTTGTACATTTGGGTTTATATCTAGTATTTAGTTAAAAATCAGAGATTAATCAAGATTTAGTTTTAAGACATTTATATAAAGACAATTCTATTAAGAATATTTGCATTCCATACACACAATAGTTTCATACCCTATTTCTCTCTTTTCTTTTATTCTTCCTATCACTACTTTTTCCTCTTAAAATATGGTAAATTCCTAAATATCTTCTTCTTTTAGTATATTGAGCTAAATCACTCTTTTCTTCTGCTGTCAAGTTCTTGTTTGTTTATGTAATTGTACGATTGCTTTGAAATTTTACTCAGCTATAAAGAAAGAAAATAGATATTATATGAGTGAGGTTATAGCAGGAAACAATGTTATATGATAATTGTATGGTCAGAAAATAGTTTTACCGAATCTCTGAAAAATTAATACATCGGTTTTGGGTCTATGAGCCGAGTGAATAGACGTGAAAAACCAATAAACCTAAGATATGAGGTGTTATTTAATAATTTTAAATTTTATAAATATAAGAAATATTTTTTTTTCTAACACTGAGAAAATGTATATATAAGGTTTGATAAGCGAAAGAGAGTATGATGAGTCTTTTTTTTTACTTAATAATTTTAAAATTTATAAATATGAGAAATATGTTTTTTTTTTGTAACACTGAGAAAATGTATATATAAGGTTTGATAAACGAAAGAGAGTATGATGAGTCTTCTTCAGCTGTCAAGTTCTTGTTTGTTTCTGTAACTGTACGGCTGCTTTGAAATTTTACTCAGCTATAAAGAAAAAGAAAGTAAATAAAAGAAAAAGTAAATTGATATAGGTAGATCCCCTATAAATAAAATGAAAGGTCCAAGCTGATAGATATCATTGACGGATACATGCCTATTGAACCTTACGTAAGCTATACGGCCCAAGGTATAAAGGCCACATCTTTAGAATTTTTTTTCACTGAATCGCTCATATTTGTAAAATGCATGTAGAGCGTGTAAGTCGTTTATGTCCATTCCTTTTATAGAAACAAATATAGATGGGCACATCGGTCTATTTGTTTATGTGGAATTCATTTTTGATGGAATTTTATGTGTTTTTATTTTAATAATGGTATTATCTGCTTTTGTATATCATTTTCTGTCTACACAATGCATATCTATTTAAACCATGGGAAATTAAGTCATATAACCACACAAAAATATAAATTTACTAACTAACCAAAATCATTTTCTTTCTTTTGCTTTTTTTTCTTCTTATATCTCTTCTTACAAAACTAATTTTTTTTTTCTTTTACTATTACATAAATAAGTCCTCAAACAGTAATGTATGAGATTCCTAAATTTAGGTTAGTTTGGCTAATGTATTACTATATATTATTTTAAATTTTACTAGACATTTAATTTATTTCGTAAACCAAGACAAAAAGCTAATAAAAACCTCCATCGATAAAGTTGGAATGATACAAAGAAAATTAGCATAACCCAAAAATGACATGCACAAACCGAAAATAGTCTAAATTTCGCTTTAAAAAAAACTAACATAAATAATGTTTTTAGGCAGATTTTCAAAAAAAATATTACAATAAACCTAAATATTTACCAGAAAATAGGGCAATTATTGACAAAACAAGTGAAAACCAACTAGATAGCAAAACTACAATGTTAACTTCCTGTGTGTTCCGCTGAGTTTGAGATAGTGAGTTTAGCCTGAATTGGATTGTATTCTCGATATTTTCTATAAGGGACTGTGGTGGACGTGAAATATGAGTGTGGATTCTCGAGCTCATCCTTCCAAATAGAGTAATAGTGCTTGGTATTACATCTTTATAATCAAAACCACATTCTTATCCCTTGGAGGGTTTTCAATTATCTAAGTTCATCATCAAAGTTTGACGGTGAAGAAAGATGGAATCAAGAGTGAAAGAAAACGAAACATGATCACTTAAAGTGCAATCAAAGAAAAAGTGTTGGTGGGATTCATCAGCAGCATTACTAATTACACATAGATGGAGCATTCATTCCCGGCTCATTATATGATCCCTATTTGAAAGTCGATTCCAAGCCACTAACCACGTGATAAATGTATGCTTTGAAATACTTCTGAAGAATCAAACCTTAGTGTACCAAAAAACTTGGACACCCTGAAGATATAAGGTGAGCCATGTTTGAGAGAAACTAAAATCACCTGGAGTTGAGGCATTTGTTGGTTTCCATAGAAACCAGTCATCAATCTCTGAATTAAAATTGGAGTTGGGTCTGGAAGGCTCTTCTTTAATAGAGTGATTCATCTGTTCCTGCCTGGGCATCTCTAACCCCATCAGAGATAAACTTTTTTAGCTTTCAAAATTTTTGTTTATTCAATATGTTAAATATATTTTTGTTTTGTAAATCAAACAGTAATATTATATATATATATATATATATATATATATATATATATATATTGTAATATTTTTGGACCCCTCTCTCAGTTTTATTTATTATAATTTTCTATGTATTCGGGTTCGGGACGGTCACACGTTCCCCCTTCTCAATTAGCCGGCCATGAAACCCACCATCTATCTCCCCTCAAAATATTCTGCGACTATGGAGAACAGAGGTAGACCCATGATCAAGGGATACAACATAAAAACATGGATTTTCCGACTACAAAATCAGTTGCTTAACCACTAAAAATGACTAAACTGTGATTGATCACCTTGTTCACAAACCACTGTGTCGCAGAAAAACAACAATCGTCGCCAATTAATGACTGAGTTACTACTAACTTACGAGAGAGACCAATAGTCATAATTCGGTGCTTTTTATTTTATTTTGTAGGAATCATTTTTTTCTCGTGATTGCAAGAGCTATTTTTCCTGTTTTGATTTTGAAACAGAAAAAAGTTTTCGACGAAGTCTCACTACTACATATTGAGGTATGGAGTGGTATATATTTTATTAACAAGAGCAGTGCTCTATTTTGTACAGAGGAGGTGATACAAGTTAGGTAAGACTATATACTGAGTTAACGAGAGAATGTATTGTGCGTAATGATAGGATGGGCATCAAGAACTTCCGTAGTCCCATACGCCCCCTCAAGAAGGACGAGGGATAGCAAGTCTGATCTTGACATAGAGTGTTGCAAAGCGTGGTCATGGCAGAGGCTTGGTGAGAGCATTGGCAAGTTGATCACTAGAGTGTGTACGTGAAAATCTGATATTACCAGCTTGGACATGGTAATATAGGTGAAGAACACATAATATTAGGGACAAAGGTCCCACATCGGAAGTTGAAAGAGATTTTATCTAGTATATAAGATAGATAGGTCAATCCACTTATCACCAATTGATTTTATGTTGGAAGTCCATCTAACTTAATTTGATGTCAGAGTCCATGATCCACGCAGTCCAACCCGATCCTTATCGATTCAGTCCAAAGTAGGCCCATCGATCCTTGTCCGAACATTCCGAGATTGACACCAAAGAGCCATCATCTCAAGGGGGCGTATTAGAGAAAAATGTCCCACATCTGAAGTTGAAAGATAGTATATCTAGTATATAAGATATATAGGTCAATTCACTTATCACCAATTAGTTTTAGGTTGAAAATTCATCTAACTTAATACATAACTACGGGGCTAGTAATATTTTGCAAAATGATTACCCTTAAATATATAAACTTAATCTTTTTTTAACAACTAATATATAAACTTAATCTAAACTATCAAACACATTAAGCCCGGCCCTGGGAGCAGTTGGAGATGAAACATTTAAGGACTATATATAAAGCTTTTCATCATATAGACCTCCAATATGTGTTTTTTTTTTTCGTTTTAAAGGGCAAAAAAGCCTATCTATACCATAAGTCCATAAGTAATCACGAGTCTTGCTTGTAGTCCATTTAATATTCTCAAAAATAAATAAAAATAAGAAGTTGTATTAATTTGGTGAAGTACATACTATAAACTTAAATTTGAAAGCTGCTGACTGAAAACAGCTTGCAACAGGGTCCCACATATTTAATGTTTGGTTATGTGGGTGTTAGACAACCTTGTGATTATGCCAACTAAGTCTAGAAACATATGTAGTCACATCTTTCTTGGGGGTAAAATATATGTAGTCACATCTGTTAATATTACATGACCTAATAGTATACATTGGTTGCTTGGGTCTCCATTATTTTTTCCCCTTCTTTTGTCTCCATTACTTGTTGTGTTTTGTTGGAATTTCGTCGAATTTAAAAAGAAAAATCCAATGGAAAATAAATTCTTTTTTTTTTGCTAAAATTTAGAGAGGGAAAGAAGTTTTAAGATGTTACTTTATAATGACTAGATTCTTTCTCCGCGCTACGCGCGGATTATATATTTAAATTTATTACATTTACCATTTTTATTTGTATGTGAATTTTTTTATATTTAATTTTATTTAACTAAATTTTTAATTTGATTTTTTATATATTTTTAGCTTGAAGTAAATATTTGAATATAATTCATTGGTATTAATGGGTAATTTAATTATATAATTATCTTTAATATACTATGTAATTTATACTATTGTCAAATATGTACACCTAATCGCATTTCAATAAACTGGAGAATATAAAAAAATATATAACATATAAAATTAATAAATTTTGCATTAAAATTCTAAGACAATTTTTATTTTGACACAAAATTACTCTACAGTGATAATTAGAATGAAATGAAAATACAAAATCCACAAACTACTAATCTAAAATTCTAATATACTACTACCCCCTTTGTTTCAAATAATATATATTTTACACACACTGATAAAACATATTAAATCTTAGTTATAAATGCATATTTTTGATTTATATATTCAATAATTCTAAACCAGTAAAAATTTAAAAAACAATTAATATTTTAAAAATTTACAATTGATCATTGTTAGTTGATCAAATACAATGAAAATACAAAAATGTATATTTTTTAAACTATTTTTTCCTCTAAAACATAAAGTTTTATGAGTATAATTAAAGTCTCCTAATCTTAACTAAAACTTGAACTTTTAAGATTTTGAATATTACAAAAACACGTGGATCCAGTAACATTATCAAATTTTGTAAATTCAGTGGACGATCAAACCATTTGATTTGACTTTAAAGAAAATTATAAAATGTACCAACATTCATTCGACTTCATCCATAACATACCAATCGATCTTTCACTTTTATTAAGCTTCAAACTTTCAAAAGATTTCACTCCATGAACCGGCTATTGTAACCCAATAAACGGTAAAAGGAGCAAAAAAACAGAGACACCATGAATATAACCCGATTAACATTGTTCTTTCTTTATATTTTCGAGACACAAACTGTACCATCCACTGAAGAAGTCAACATGCAATCCTCCTTGGGGTGATAACTCACGCTTGTAACCTTACAAACAATCAAATAGAAAAAAACATCAAAACAAATACTTACTTAGAGAATATAAAAACAAAGGGAAAAAGGAAAGAGAGTGTGTGGTCCTTACCACTAAATCATGAGCTCGAAATTTCGATACCACTTTTGCATCTACCAATCCCAGAAGTAAACCATTCCAATAGTCTATCTTCCGATCCTCCAATTACATGTGCATCCGAGTGAGGCAACAATCGGTTTTAAATGACTGTTACACACGAAAAATTACCATTAGTCATAATACTCTTAATGTCTATATTATATATGTCAGTATTTCATATTACTTCCTAAATTTTAATAATTAATTTTTTCTAGTTAGATGTTTATTTCTAATAACATGAAAATACTTCATTTCCAGTAACTTTTAATTGATAAAGAAAAATCAAAGATAAATAAGTTAACCGGGTTATAAATATATAGAAAGGTAGATAAGGATGAGGAGTAGTGTTCTTTTCCGGAAATCAACTATCGTACCTTAAGATTTTCCTCACTCGCATCCATTGCGTTTGATTTCTGCAAGAAAAGGAGTATGGTGATCACAAAAAAATAGCTTTGAACTAAAAGACTCTCTCTCTCTATTGAGTAGATAACAAAACTTATAGCAAGGAAATTACTAACCGGAAGCTCATAGGCAGCGTTGTGGATCAAATAGTCAACACCACCCCCACGGAAATGAGTCACTACTGCCGCTACAACATCTCTGAGCCACACTTTGATGCTAGTGCTTGCTAAAGCAAAACGAAAAACCCTGACATGTTCTGGTGCATATTTAAGCCGAACCAGCTCAGCTTCATTCCTATCAGAAAGAATAAGCTTGGCAACTAAACTTGCAAACTGTTTAGCAAGAGCTTCCCCTATAAACAGAAGACATATCACATGAGCTGCTGCATCCACGATATAGAAAAAGAATTGAAGACTTTTCTTCATAGACAATCATTAAAACTCCGACTTACCAATCCCTTGGTTAGCCCCTGTGATCCAGACCACCTGAGCAAAAACCAAATCAATCATCACAAATCTGAAAAAAAAAGAAGAAAAAATAAATCCCCATTGATTCCATCAACCTAAGAAACAATTAAGCAGCCATGGATAATTTCTGTTGACTAACCTTAGAAATATGACCTTTATAGTCTTGGAGTAGGATCCTGTGGTTCTGTAGTTTCAAATATATTCATAAGAAAATCTTGATGAGAAATTACAGTTTTTTAATTCACATGCTAAAAATTTTTACAAAGGGGAATGTTTACCGGTCAAGTAGACGCAGAGTAGAGTCCAAGCAACCAGCTAAAACGCAGTTTCCATCGTTTGATATCGATATGAAATTAACCAGTTGTCCTAAATTATCTGACATCTCCCTGATTCCAAATTTAAACAAAACTTAGAGTCAGCTCTTTCAATTCCTCCTGGCCAAAAGAAAAAAAAAACAATAACAGATTCTTTTTTTCTTGTTGTGGAGTTTTGTACATACCTACCGAGACGCAAGTCAAAGGTTCGGACAGTTCCATCGACACTGCCACCAATAATCTCACTCTTTGTTAAAACAACTGACATCACTGTAACCGAAAACGTATCAATGATCTGAAACAAACCAAAAAACATCAAAAAAGCAAAAGCTGGTTAAGATTTTAGTTCTGAAATAATCAACCAGAGATTTGGTCCCTGAAAAGAAGGAAATGAGCAAAAAACTGAACCGACTCAACACTGTGAGATCTGCAGTCCCATACACGTAGCGAACGATCGTAACCAGCTGATACGCTTGACAGAGCGCAACCACCTGCAAAAATTGTTTGTTAGTTTTAATATCTAGTCTCACGTAGATGGATGGCTACAATTATATATACATATAAACGTGGTGAGGAAATGTCAGCAGCTTATGTAATATTCAACCCAAATCAGTCCTAAACGAACTGAAGATCACATGTATGTCTTCATTGTAAGTCTTTTTTTTTTTAGAGTAAATCCAAGATGTAAAGGCACAAGATGATCCAAAAGTGTATACCTTTTTTGCCTTCTTTCTAGAGCTCACCGCTTACAGCATACTGACCCTTTTGCGTGTTTTCATTCAGAGATCGTATTCGAGAGCCATTTATCTTCACACCTTAAAGCAATCACTACAGCACTTCAATCTTATCGAAACAAAACAAAACAAAAATTGTGAGAATCCCTAATATTTGATCAAATGAATCGACATCAAAACTCAAAGGGGTTATCAACACCACTGAAGAAAAAAAGAAATTGATCATCACCATAACTTTAGATTCAAAATCCTAATTCGGGTGGACCTAAAGAGACTTGCCGGTAGAGACACGGGACTTTTGGTTGGATTTTATTGCCTGAGCTTTCGATTCTTCACTGGAGATTTTCGGGTTTGCTTGCAAGTAAGTTTAGACGAAGCAGTTGAGCAATCTATATATGAGCATAAAGAGAGGGAGGTGAAACAAAACTACATAGAAGGAATTTAAGAGCACCACTGATTGATCAAAGAAAGCTCACCGTAACGGACATCACCGAGAACCAAGTTGGTGAAGACGAAGTGGGACGCTATCGATGCGTCAAGATAGTTCCCTTTTTCTTGGTGGGGAATGAAGGTTTGGAATTCGGATTCATCGCGATGGCTATGATAGAGAGTAGGATATCTTAACAGCTTGATGTAGAGAGAAGCTGATAGGAGAGATCTATAAATAGAACAATGTCGAGGAAGGTGAAAAGATGATTCCATTGAATGAGAATGAAGAAAGGATTCAATGCAATGAAAGATTATTCAGAGGATGGGTTAAGAAATCGATCAAACGGAAGAGATGAAATGGGAAGAGAGGAAGTCGAAAGTCACGCAAATATCTTCTGCTTCCTAATTTAAGACCCAAGCTCAACCCAGAAATAACCCAAAATCAATTTTGTACCAAAAACCAAACATGATTTTCAATGAATAAACCGTTGCTGACGTGGCCGAATAGAACATTATTATTGGCTGAATAAATTTGCAAACGTGGACAATGTGAGGAGCCTCTATTTAGACCTTTTAATAGTGTTTGATTATACTTTATTTCTCGAACTCTGTACTCTTGTTTTGTTGTAATTTTGTGGTTAACGGAGTTCAATCCATTTAAATTGCGAATTCAATCTAAATTTTAATTTTTAAAATTTTCTTTTTAACGAATCTTAACAAAAATTGTTATAATTTGTTTTGGAACTTTTATACTGTAATATTTATATATTTTTTTTAATTTAAAAAGGCTATGATATTTATATTTTTTACTTTAAACATATATCTATCTTTTATACTATTATTTGAAAGGTAACTCTATTTTAATATATGTTTTACTATGTATGAGTACATAAGCTCTTTGTTTTTTACTATTTTGTAAATTATTGATGGTTAATATAGAAATTGTCTACTTTATTTTATTATTTGTATAATTTATTTTTGTAATAAAATATATAGTTTAAATAGAAAATCAATTTAAAAGCTATAATGAACAGGTTAACTTTCAGTATTTATAATTATATGTGTTAATTGTAAAATAAAAAAAATTATAAAATATTTTCTTAGAGAAAGAAATAAAAAAATACAAGAAAGAAAAACTCACATATGTTATAGTGTTCCTTCTTTTTCTAATGTTGTAGAGTTTAAATAATATTGAAATGTTATAGAATATCTCTGTTATAAAAAAAAAAATACATTTAAGATGGTCTAAATTATTTTCGAAAACTTTAATCAATAGACACCGTACCGAAAAACTTTCCACGATAGTACATATGATGATAATTCATTCATCACCAAATACAAACGAGTGGAAATATATTGCAAACTATATAGTCAAAAGAGAAAAGCTATATGAGGAAATTTCCACACTGATTCCAACAAGATTTTCCAACGAAATTGATAAAGCTAAGATAGATAAAAGCAAAAAAGAGAGACCCTTCCATTAGTTAAAGCTGTCATTATTATTAACTGGAGTATTTAACTTCGATAACATGTCTGCCTATATACTATCACTTTTATATATTTACCATCATCTAATAAACAAATTTATTTCTCACTTATAAAAATAAATTTTTTTATTTTGTGTGTGTGAGAAATAAATTTATTTATTAGCAAATATTTAACAAATAACTAAGGAACCAGTCAACCAGATATGCTAAACATATTTGATATACTCGAAGAAAACATTAGTCACTGTATGCATCCGATAAGATGATGATGATGATATACATATGCATATTTATATATATACTGTACATGTGTGTGTTTGTAGGATTTTATATACTTTATTGGCTTACCGGAGCTTTAGGTTATCGAGTTAACGAATAACGATTGATGCTGAAGATTGAGACGCAAAACGTGTAAGTTGAGGGGAATGAAGCCTGGTCCGACATCTCATCATGACAAGGATCATATTGAATCTCGAACCAAGCATCATCCACCTGAACTTTTGGCTCAGAGAGAGAAGACGATTAGAGAGAGGATTATAGAAACTAAACAGCCATGAAGTTTATTTTATACTAGGATGGGGCCCTTTATAAATCTCGAAAGCCTAGGGGATGGTTTCTTTTACCACTTTTATTATAATTTTCAAAACCATTGAAATTATAGAAAGAGAATTGTGTGATAAACATAATTAATCATTTCAAGAACGTATACGATTGTTTTCAACTCNGAGAGAGGATTATAGAAACTAAACAGCCATGAAGTTTATTTTATACTAGGATGGGGCCCTTTATAAATCTCGAAAGCCTAGGGGATGGTTTCTTTTACCACTTTTATTATAATTTTCAAAACCATTGAAATTATAGAAAGAGAATTGTGTGATAAACATAATTAATCATTTCAAGAACGTATACGATTGTTTTCAACTCTCATGTTTATATTATTGATTATAAATTAAAATAAAACTTACTCGAAACTTGAAAGATAATTCTTATACAGATTGTGTTCTTATTCAAAAAATATTTTTCAGTCATAAACTTCTTTAAAATAAAAAATACATAAATACTAAGTAAAAAACGTAGTTTGTTCTCCAATCTCTATAATATTATTTGAGAAATCAGTTTCTTACGTGTTGCGCTCACGTTAACTCTCGCGATGGTTGATTACATAGATACCCTTAATGAAT